AAAAAAAAACAAACATTATTATAGAAAGAAAAGAGATTTGATCAATTTTGAGATACTCAAGTACTTAAAAGCTCTATGTAAGCGCTCCGTTGTGCTTTGGATCCGCTTTTCCGTTTTAAATGAGTTTGACTGACAGTCCTCCTCTTAGGTCTGGGAACGTTTAGCTGCTGTCATTACACCACTCCAAAAGGAGTCAAAAGATTCATCTTTTCTGACTTTGTTTTCCAAGTTGTTAGTACTTGCTGACATTGTATAAACTATGGCTGGGAACAGGAGAAGGTCGCCCTAACTAGAGATGCCAGCTGACATGATCACTGACCTTTCTTTAGTGGTTATCGAGATAAGGAAATAGATGACAGAAATGTCCCTTAAAAGCTTACTAAGTTAAATAGAAAACTTGTGAGAGCATAAAATTGTTTTGATCTGAAGGACTTAGAGAAACCACTTGATTCTCAGAAGGAACTCCAGACATCTGTTCAATTTTAAATCCCAAAGTAAATGTAAATAAATTTAAATTACATTTTTTTTTAAAGAGCTTATTAAGCAGCCAGCAACGACTTTGGCCTTGATGATAAAGCAGATCCTTACCTGCGGGAGCTGGAAGGCTTTGCTCACACAATGAGTCTTTCTGGTCTGGGTTAGCATTCAGAATGTTATAGGCAGAAGATTTAACCAAATAGAGATTTTATTGCTGTGATTTTGTAATTAATCGTTTAATTCATCTTTTTGGTTGGTAAAATCTGTAAGCTATGCTAATATAAAACCTTCATTAAATGACATGAGCAGGAGCCTGGCGAAGGCATGTTTGCCTCCGTGACAGGAAGCATTTCTGACAGTGTAGATGGTGCCGTATCAGAGGCCTTCATGGCAGAGGAGATGCTGATTGTTCTTTGAGAAGTTTTAGACATATTCCTTGCTTTTCTCTATATTGCATTCCTAAATAAGCAGAAAAAAGTGGTTTAATAAAATTCATTACATGTTCCCATGGGAGCAGTTGTAGCAGGAAATGATGATCTGATCAGGAACTCCATAAGCTGTGGAGAGGGCCAAGAAGTGGTCACAGAAAGAAAGATTGAAAGACTGTTTTGTTAATCAGTTAATACAGTTAAATTATACCTTGAAATCTACAAACGTAATAAATACACTGTCCGTCACGATAATGCTAGACACTTGCTCCCTGCTCAGTTGCGCTTACAATGTCTAAAAGTGTATCTCTGCTCGATTCTGTGTTTGACCTACACATAACTGCTAGTGCTAACCAGTAATATTTATACAGTGTTTTGCTTGTCTTAAAGTTTAGAGGAACATTTTGAGAAGTATTAGGATGAATTCCAGTGGTGGTGGAGGGGGAGTTGATCTGAGGTTTCCTTTTGCTCTCAGTGTGAATTTTCTTCTAGTGAGGAAATCCATTCATTAGAGCTCCTTCTGAGCTGAGTACGTTTCAGCACCTGACAGTGGGAGGGATTATAATTTGGGAATCTCCCTGGTCCTGATTACCCTTTGTGTCTTCCCTTCCTTTTCCCATATAAACCCTTTTGGCATCATGAGGGGTCCTCTGAGTGGGTGCCTTCAGCATGGAACCTTGTGGCAGAAACCACCCACTGAGGGGGCTGCTGGGGGTGAGAAGCCATGTGGAAGAGGCGTGGTAAGCGAGACATGAACAGTGAACACTCAGCCCTGGGTCAGCCACATCTCTTTTGAGATGGGGCAAGAAAGACCTAAGGAGTGGAGGCATTCTGAAGATGAGAACACAGGCCAGAGGGTCACCTGCTGAGTATGAAAAATGTCATATAGTTGATGATTTCACTAAAGATTGCTAGAAGTGTGTAATTAACTGGACTTTTCTTAGAGCTTGAATTGTTGCTCCCTCTCTACCATGTGAATGTTTCATTAAACAATATAATATTTGCAAAATATACTTAGACTCTGAGAGACATCCTATTTGGGAGGATTTTAATGTACAGAATACTTATTTTTATTTTTTAATTTTTTACAGTTACCACATTTGTCTAGGGTCTTGAGGGGAATGTATTTACTTGTGAGTTTCATTGAGGGTTGTGAGGAAAAGGTTACTTATATAATTACATAAAACAAAACATAAAAACATCAAACTCACTGCCTTGTTGAAATGCTTATTTTAAACATGATTTTATTCAACATTTAAGTAGTTAATACAGTACAATCTTACACCTGTCATCCTGCCTTGTATGACCTGACATTTTCTGGAAGAGTAACTGAGTTGCGTTCTGACAAAACCATCTGTTCCACTTGCACTTTAACCCACTTCTGAGTGAACTTTTGTTTGGAACCACTCAGGTGGCAGGCGGCTTGAATGAGGCAGTAGAGTGCTGAGCAGTCTGTCTCTGGAGGCAGGCAGACACTGGTTCAGATTCTAACCCTGTCCTTTACTTAGCTGGTGACCTTGGACAAAATTCTGGCTTTGCTGTGCCTCAGTTTCGTCATCGATACATTAAGAAAAAACAAAACCAAGCCAGTTGCCATGGAGTTGATTCTAACTCATGGCGGCTCCATGAGTGTCCGAGCGGGCCTGTGCCCCACAGAGTCTTCAGTGCCTGATTTTTCTGAAGTGGATGGCCAGGCCTTTCTTCGGACAATCCTGGGTAGACTCAAATCGGCAATCACTTCAGCGAGTGGCTGAGCACATTAATTGTTTGTGTTGTCCAGGGAGCCCATCAGTACGTCGAGGATACTTAAAATAGCACCCACTCCACAGGATTATTTTGAGGATTAAATGAGATAGTGCACATGAAATGTTGAGGAAAGTGACATACCAATCACTTAGAAAATATTGGCTATTATTTCTATGGCAGTCTCTTAGAATTTTCTTGGGTTAAAAAAAAAAAAAAAAAAAACAGCTTTCTGGGAGCCATGATAGCTGCAGTGGTTTGGGTAGGGTGAGCTGCCACAGACAGCGATGCCTTTAGTGCTACGGTGGGGAAAGGGGAGGTGCATTGACTCTGGAGGCTTTAGTTGATTGGCTTCTTGGCTTTTGACAAACCTTGTCCCCCCTGTAGATTTCACTAAACTCATCTATAAAGTAAAAATCATGGTTTTGAGGTCCTTGTTTCTTCTGTGGAGCTCTGGTGGTGTCGTGGGTAAGACATTTTGCTGGTAACCGGAAGGGTGGTGGTTTGAACCTACCAACTGCTCCATGGGAGGAGGAAGATGAAGCAATTTACTTCTGTAAAGATTTATAGCCTTGTGAACCCAATGGGTTTTGCTACGATTTGGAATTGGCTCGATGGCCATGGGGTTATTGTATTTATTTACTTTGATTTCTCCTGTGGATAAATCACTGGCTGTAGCTGGTGGCTCCTGGGCTCTGCTGCACTGGTCTTGGCAAGTGTTTTTGTTTCTCCCTGCAGCTGTGTTCCTGGTCATCCTTAGTTAAGTAGGTGTGTCTGACACTGTTACGTAGTTCAGAGCCTTTGTCAGTCCGCTGTCCAGCGGCTCACCTGCTAGGAACAAGGAGAAG